TTAATACTAGTGGAGGGGCAGGTGGGAATAAAAAAAAAAAATCAGGAAGGTAAGGAGGGTTTCTCTCACCTTCACAGCTCACTCGCCTCTGGTATTTTAATAGAGTTTCCACACAACTCGTGCAAACTTCATTGCCACGCAAGCATATTGGTTAATCAGATAATTACTACAAAAAAGGGACACTATCTCTACAAGTATCAGTGGTGAAGAGAGGAACAATATCTCAATAGTTTTTATCTGTGGCACTGAACTCAGAAATCAAACTAGCATCTCTCTCTTTTTCAGTGTTTTTCTATTTCCCATTAAGTGTCTGAAGTGTTTTTAAGAGTACTATCATTGGTAAAATTTCTTAAGGATGCAGCTACTGAACAGTTAAGTTAGAGGAATGAATCTTCTTGTAAATCTAAGTAGTAGTTCAAGACACCAAGTAAAATCACATTGCATAACGCCAGCTTGCAGCACAGCCCTCATTTCAAGTCCTCCCTTGCTATATACAGAACTTTTTTGAGCATTTGTAAAGCTAATGCTTAGTATTCACTCTTCTGCTGAAGTCTTAACTAGCTCTTCTCATTACACAACTTTCTACAGTAGGGCAATCAACTGGGTGGTGATGGCAAAATAAGACATTTTGTGTTTGTAGCCACAGAATTAGTCAAATTCATTCCAATAGGAAGTTGGAAGAATGTTGCATATTAAGCCTGTTTTTATTATATGCAAACTTATAAAGGAGAGGGAAGAAAACCTACAGATTTAATAATTTAGATAAAATATTGCTTAAATTTCTATTCCCCTGACAGGTAATAATTACCCATGTAAACATCCCAATAAGCCGAAGAACTTCAGAGAAGGAAAACCTTATTAACTTTGACACTATTAAATTTAGCTCTACACTAAGTAGAATACATACATCCTATAAATGCTAACTTATAGAAAAAAACAACCCCAAGGCCTCTAGCAAACTATTTTCCCCTCTTTCCAACACATACTTGCATACATGTCTACACATGTCTCACCAGCATTCTCTTTCAAGAGAAATGCCAGGTCCTGCATGCAGGGGGGCTCTACCACTTCAAGCCCTCAAAAGGGAGGAACGAGCGCAGCATTACAGTCAACTTCAGTGTCCCCTCGGCAGCTACAATCCGCAAAGGACTGTGCCCATCATTAAGGCAGCCTAACTAACATCCATGAAGAAAAGTCAAAAATATTGTCTTGTGTCTTCCTGTCTATGTAGAAAGCTGCCTCCTACTCACCATCCTGCACAGCTCTCAGTCAGTCTAGAGGCCATTTGCCTGCACACTCCTTTTTATACAGTGAATCTTAAAACACTCTTGTTAATGCATATCTCTTTTACTTCACATTGAAAGATATTCCTGTTCAGATAATGTCACAATAAATTCACTTGGATCTTTTGTCTTTTTAGAAGTTTTCTCATAAAAATCTCCTAACGAAGGGGAGGGAAAGCCATGCAGGACTTCTCCTCTCCCAAGCAAAAGCCAAGACAACAAGAACATGCACTCAATTTTCTTAACCCTATGCGTAAATCAGTGACTCTCATAACTGGTTTGTTTCTCTGAGTTTTCCACATTTGGGAAGAACTGATCTTTCCAGGACAACCTAAATGAAAAAAAAAGCAATGGACAAGCAAACAGGTAAGAAGAAAAATCACTCCAGGCACAAAAATCCACATTTTTACTGTCTCTTAAATAGAACAGAGATAAAAAGCTTGCCAGCAGCATCATCTTCCAAAAGAAGAGCCACAGAAAATATTTTACCTTTTATGAGATGCAATCTGTTTCCACACTAAAGTTGCATAGCTTAGTGAAGCTCAAACTTCATAGGCTATGTGCAGTACACATAAACCTGTTTACATTGCAATAAACCATAAATTATACAACAAAGGGCACGATATAATAATGGATGCATACCGTCCAGCTGAACAGGGTTCACATATTAAACACTGGCTTTACCAGCAGAGTATACACCCATCCTTACTATTCAGTTAAATCAGAAGGCAATACATCCACCACCAGGTTAGACAAGACTAAGACTGCTAATCCTTGCTTTGGAGATACACCTGAAAATTGGTTGAGATATTTTGCAAAAAAATCAGTAAAGTATTCCATAAAGCATTCCACAGGATCTTCTTTTAAAAAAGGGAAGAGGTAATAGGATTTTGTGTTGCTATCAATGTTAAAAAACCCAATCCTTAATCCAGCATTTTGAAAATCCACATTTTTCAATGTATTTTATTTCAAGAAAACACTAAGTGGCATGCCCTTAGGGATGAGAAAAAATATATCCAATGACGCTCAGGCTAGTAGAGAAGCTGTGGATCAGAGGTATCTGTCACAGCCGCAACCCAGAGCACCACACATCAAGGTCAGGACAGTCAGTTTCCTCTGAGTAGGATTACACTGAGTTCAGTCACAATGTCAGGATACATCACACTGTGACTGAACCAGCAAAGCTTCTTCCACTTTTATATACTAATGGGAAGCAATTGAACCATCAATCTAGCAAAGAAAGAACAAACCCCTAATTTTTTTCTTTTGAAGCCTAAATATACACTAGCACTCCTATCCAATAATTTTTCATATGAAAGTATACATAAACGTCTCAATTACATGAATTTTTTGAAGCTGAAAGTTATGGGTTAGATTCTGAATTTATCAGATTGGCTGGGTTTTCATTTGGGTTGGTTTTTTGGTGTTTTTGGGTTTTTTTTGTGTGTGGGTTTTTTTTTTTTCTTTCTTTCTTTTTTGGTTGGTTTGTTTGCTTTTTTGTTAACTTTTTTTTGTGGGAGGGGAGGGGTTTGTTTGTTTGTTTTTTGTCATTTGTCTCTGGACAAATAGAAACACTGTGGTCTATAAAAAGGAAGTAACCTTTGCAAAGGCCCTGGAATTGAGACCTCATAAGAGATCTCCTCCACCCAAGTTGCTGCCTCCAGATGCAGAAAAGACCTCAGACATCAACTTGGCCTCTGCTCACCATTGCTCCCTGGCCAATCTGAGCAATGTGTAAGCTACAAAATCCCTCACAGCAGGAAGGGCATTTTTACTGCTTCACAGGTAAAAGTGGTGAGGTTGGGACTAGATGATCTTTAAGGTCTATTCCAACCCCTTAACATCCTATGACAAAAATCTTGGCCTGAATTGCCATGTCCAAGAAGGAAGAGGAGTAAATAAAGGAGAAGTAAAGCAGTTTTTGCACTCAAGTCATGCCCACTAACACTGAAAGGTGCTGCTGAAGTTCAACTGGCCTGACTGGGGGTAGCTAGAGTCAGAATTTACTTGTAACATTAACAATCAGCATTTAAAGATACTTTTCTCTAATTAAACAGAGATTTTCTTTATTTTGGCAAAGGGGCTATCATTTTGGCTTGTGACAACTCCAGAGTTCCAGCTTTGCTTTAGTTAAAGATATGTAATGTACAAACACCTGAGTTTAGTCTCACTGCAAAGGTCTTTGTCTGGTATCTAACCTACAATTCCACTTTTTGGTCCTGGGAAGGCAGGAAATAAAAAGCATCACTGTCATCACTCATAACTGCCTACTCAATTTTCAAATTCTTTTTTAAAGGTATAAATTGATGAAATTAATCACTTAGCAAGGTGATGGAGGATTAAAAATTGAAATACAGCCAGCATGAAGTAAGTTACCACAACCCCTCTGAAGGGAAAATGTTGATTTGGGAGACCTGGATTGATTTTCTCTAACCACCTCCTTTTTTTTTCCCTACATAGTCAACAGTCCAGTTTACCACCCTGGACATAGAAGTCACGATGGCTCAATCCAAGACATTACATGTCAAACAATATTACTGGAATACAAACAGATTCCCTTTCTCACCACCACACAAAAGACAGCTTCAAAAGTCCTGGAGCACAAAATTAATTTGCTCCATTTTCCCCTAAAGTAGAAAATGAGAGAGGACAAGACATCTGCCAGAAACATACAGGGAGCTTTCAGCAGATAAGCATCTGTCCATGTCTTTCATCCATCATACCTGTGTGCCATGAGCCACCATTTTTTACAAAGCTGTATTTAAGTTTCAAATATCGTAATCCACTTTATTAGATCTTATGAATACGAACAGATACGACACTTTTGCCAAAATTACTGGTAACTTATTTTTGTTTCAGTTGTCTTTCAGTGGCTCTGCTTTTTAAACACAAATGTTTTTAGAGGGGAACTTTATTTCATGCCTCAAACATGCTCCTGGTTAGAAGGGAGCCACTACCCAAATGATCAGCTAGCAAACCCTGCTTTTTAATGAGGAAGAATGAGCTAGTTGGAACATATACTGCCTTCAGGCACCAACACCTGTGAAATATGTTCAAAAGTCTGAATCTCCTTATAATTTTATTTAATCTCCTCTCTCTGAATTTCGGAGCTCAATTGCTCAAATGAGTATCCTCAGTCTTCTGTTATTGGATTAAAAGAGGAGATGAAAAAAGATTTGTTTCTAGAAATTTGAGACACTCAATTTAGTAAGCAAGTGTGTAAGGGGATGTAACATAACAGAAAACGACTGGAATACCAACATTAGAGACATAATGACCAGAGCCCTAGAAATAGAGTAATTCGTATATTATTTCAGCAGTTATTTCAGCATTTCATTCTAAGGATTTGTAAAAGGAACAAGTAGCAACATAAAACTTGAGGTATTATTAAGGAAGTTATATCCTCTTTGAGAAAATGTGGAAGCACACAGTATTCAAACATCATGCAATATTGTATTTCTTCAACCAAGCTATATAACAATTCCTCAGTTAAAGCAATTCAACTGTACATCTAAAGTGTTAAGTCGGTTAAGAAAATGTAGTTTCCTATACTTTCTACACTTAATCTAACTCCAAATATAAACACAACAAAGGACCATTTACTACATGAAATCCTAGTTTATTCTACTGACATTAGCTGAATGCTTGTTACACCTGTAAAACAAACCAGGAAGTCAAAGCAGCTCAGTTTCTTTAAATTATTTTAACCCTACATACCTTTATAGTCTTAGTTTGAAGTCTCAATCCATTCAGGGTATTGATAGCTTTTTCGGCATCCTTGGGGTCAACATAGTTCACAAAACCATAACCCAAGCTCTGTCCTGATTAAAAGACAAAAGTCATCATTAGTAGTGCAGTGCCACACAATGAATAGCTAATTATTTATACCCTACAGACACACACTGAGCAAATATTGCATATATTGAAGAACAGCTCCCACTCCAAAGGATCACATCATCTAACTTTTCCAATAACACTGGTAGATTTCAAGTACCTTCCTCTGTTCTTGTGATCAACACAGAAATTACTACATTCAGTTTAATACAAGACTTAAAATGCCTACTGAACCTACTAAGCACAGGTTCAGAAGTGTATTGTGATCTGTTCGACACTGGAGGATGTGCAGAAGCATCAAGTTTAAAGTGACGTCAGGAATCCACTACTCACTCTTGAACTTCTTTATTGAACAGAAGAAGTATAGTGGCAAAATTCTGGACTACTGCTTGAAAATCAAAGTCACCCAATGTCAGAACTTGAGCCAAATTGGAAGCCAAAAAATTTTACAGATCTTATTCATATACTACATAGAGCCTTTCAGTGACAAGGAATTTAAGGGCTCATTTTGTTCCAATATTCAAAACAGGTACAAGTATTTGATCAAGAATTAAGTATCAGCCAAAGATGCAGTATTATTTTCAGGGCTTTTTAGTGCTGGAAATTCAGATGACATATGGACATAAAGCATTTTTCATTAGTTCTTATGTCTGAATAACAACCCCTTTCTAATCACTAATTTTGCCTAAGCACTTACTGAACACTTGAGTTTAGCAGTAGTCATCTTCTGACAACTTCAAAACCTACAGTACACTATCCCTAACTAGCATCCTACTTCAGAAGTACTTTTAGTACATAAGAATGCAAATAGGTGAAAAATTTTAACATAGTGAAAAGATATACTTAGCAAGAATACTATCCTTTATTAGGACAAATCTTTCCAGAAACACTCCCATACTCTGAGATGGTTTTCTTTGTTGGTTTGAGGCTTTTTGGGTTTTTTTAAGACACCAAAACAAGGTAAAATAAAATTGTCAACAAGCCATAGGGAAGCATCTGAGATATCTAATTCACAAAATGCTAGTTAGAATGATTAGCTTGGGTACACAACAATATAAAACGATAAACAACATCACATAAAGCACAAATGGCATATTCATTCATTGTCCAAAAAAGATCTAATGGAATTCATGTTTTATCAAATTTTTGTATGGTATCTATACAGTATGCATTTAGAAGTATGTAATGCAAAAAAACAGCAGGAAATTTTGCACTTAATTAAATACCATAAGAGGGTTTACTAACTAGCTCGTCATCACTGGCATTTACAATTTTGCACCTATTATGCCTGCCATGGCACTAAAGGTCAGAGGACACCACCACCCCACTTCCCAAAGCCACTTCCATTCTCTCATATCTCCTCCTCAAAGCACTTCAGGCAAACATAAATTGTCTAGACAGATCCATGAACAGGTTAACACATACATTAACAGAAAATCCCAGCCCCAACAAGACAGAAGACTTGAGCATCTGCTCTAGAGAACCCTGCTCTCAGCAGGAGGTTAGACTCCATGATCTCCATGCCTTTAGCCTCAGCAGTTTGTCATTTTTCTGTAACAAACCATATGGAAATACCCAAAAGCATTTCTGTATTAATTTACAGCTCTGCCTAGATACTGCTATGTTTCTAATCCTAGAAGACTTTTTACTTATTAGTTTGATTACATTAGAACAATTTCTGTACCTGTCACCTCCATCACTCCCACTGTCTCCACAGTCTGCAGAAACTCTTCCCAACAACATCTCCAAAAAAGCGGAATCTCTCTTTTTGTGCATTCATTTTATGTGATTTCAGTGTTATCTACTACTACAGAAATGTTGATTTCAGGTATTTTGTTATTAATCTCCTGAGGAGCCCTTTCAAGTGTCAACCTTAAAAGGTTTTAAAATCTCAAAGTGAAAGCTATTGCATACAGGATGTTTCCAATACAACACTTATTCCAGATCTAACAGAAAAAGATGGAGAAAAATTATTTCTCCTATCCCTCTCTGTTGATGTGTTCTGCTTTTCATACAAAAACCACCTAAACTGCTACAGACAAAGAGCTTACCCAGCTGTTACAAAGGATTCAATTCATAACCATTCTTCTGGAGACACTCTATTAGCTGAACTTGATAAATATTAGGACACTAGCCCAGGAAGGTGCACCAAAAAACACAGTAATTTAATCAGAACAAGTATGAAATACTTTACGGAATTTTATTCTGTGATGTTAAAATTAAAGAAAAGCTTTTACATGAGAGTGGTAGTACACTGAAACAGACAACGAGAGGGGTTGTAGATTCTCCATTCCTGGAGATACTCAAGAGCCTGAATGGACATGGGTCCTGGGCAACTTGCTGAAGCAAAATCTGCTTGAGAAACAGGAAATGACTGGATTATCTCCAGAAGTTCTTTTCACCCTCAGTGAATCTGTGAATGGGATTCTATTTACTTCAGTTTTGTTTTACTTAGGTTATCACCTAAAATTCAAAAGTGTTCTCTAAAGTCCTTATTTATTTAGAAAGGTTAAGAAAATGCAAAACTCATTAAACATTAAAATTATGCCTGAAGATTAGCGGTTTATTTAGACATTAGCAATAAATGAGAGCCAAAAATCACCTTCACAGCACATAGGAAAGATAAATGTTGACTTTGAACAAGCAATGCAAATAATTGTAAATCAAACCTGATTTCTAGAATCAGTGTTTGAGGAACCACGCTTACATCTTCCTGCTTATATTAACCTCTTGTTAAGTGGTTTGTCAGGTCAAAGACAGATGGCTGAGTTCCAGAAAATTCAGACAAGCATTTAATAAAATGCACTGGAAGTAGCTATTCCAAACACACCACCAGATATCTCATTCCAAGCTATGTCTGACAGGTGGTGGGAAAATACAAAGTGGGTTACAAGGAAGAACTGCATTTCTAAGTTCTAAGTGACAAGAACTTCAGTCCAAACTTATTCAAGTACCACTAGAAGTGTAAATGCTAAAGAGAAGTTTCATTTTACTGTGGATTTCAGAGAGACCACCACATCCACCATGCACAAATTTTACTCAAGTAAAATTAGAGGCAACTGGCCAGGGTAACTCAAACCAGTTCTCCTTCTGTGAAGTTTTTTATCATTCCTCAATGTCTAAACATTTGCTTTCAAGATAAAATGAGGAGAGGCTAGATTTAAACCAAATCAGACACCATTTAGGATATTCAAGAGAAGCTTCATTATTTAATGAATGTAATAACTAGTTGTATTGCAGTTGCATTGCCTGAAAATAAGGACTGGACTGAACAATGACAAAACTGGACTCTTCCACTTGTGCTTCTTCCAGACCAAACTCCATCTGCCAAGACAGCAGTGTCCTGCAGAACACACATTTGTCTCTAAGTCTAGTAATACACTTAAAAATAGATTATGTGTCTGAGTCTGTAAAAAGGTGACAGAACAAATAAGGTGAATCTATAGCTATCCACAAGTTAAACAATCCCCAGACTTAAATGTGTATCAAAAAGTGCTTTAAATTAAATGCTTAGTCTCCTACTAAGACACAGTCAGCTGCACTAGGGTCTTGCCTTGGCTTTGTGTTTCCAATTTGTGATTCATGACACAGTCTGAAAAAACTCTTACACCTCTTTAAGTCAGCTGTCCTGGTGCTCTGTCTGATACTATGTGTTTAGGTAATTTGTATAACCAGTTTCACTTTTTGAGGATCTTCAAAATTAAGGGCTACTCAGCCTTAACACACAACAGACTACCCGTGTCATCAGCTCTTTATCTCATTACTCAGATCTACAAGTATTATTAAATTTAGATTATCCTAAATCAAGGAGTGTCAAGAGTTTCTTATTTAACTACCAGCTGACTTAATCTTGTGGATAGTTCTTGTGGCTACTTCACAAACCTGTTTGAAGATGTTTCTGTAAACCTCCTGCTAGATTTTGTTTTTGACACCATGAATGTTAGACAAAATGGTGCAGAAAAATCCCAACAGTTAGTTAAATGACTGGTAGAAGTCACCTGGATTAGGAAAAGTAAAAATGATTAAATGATCTGGAAGGAATGAGGAAATAAATGGGGAAAAAGCAGTCTGACTTGAATTTTCTTCAAAAAATATCTGAAAACACAAAAGCCATGAAGTGGAAGGAGTGCATCTCACAAGCCTGTTTAGAATAAAAGCTGTGATTTGAAAGTTCACATTGGAAGCTCACAATTATAAATTACATTTCATGTTTTATGTAACAGACACTTGTAACAAAGTCAAATTCAAGTGCAAATGGCAAAAAATTTTTTCAGTTAGGCATCTCTTTGAATCTAGACATAATATATCCATTAGTAATTGACAAATGTTCAGTCTCTGCGGCCTACAAAAGAAAAGTGCAGAAAGCACAATGCTATTCAGTTTAATAGGGGAAACTGTTCCATTTTTATTGCATGTTTTTGAGCTTCATAAATATGGCTTGGTCAACATGTATGATGTTGCAAATTAAACAGTAATTAATTAGATAATGCCAAGTTGCTTTTTGGCACTGTAGTCAAAAGATGGAATGGATTTTGAGAGGGGAAGGGCAAAAAGGTATTTCAAACAATTTAATTCTAATCAGTCTGCTCAAAAGACTGATTGGACATCAAGTGTATACCAGAAAAGCATAAGTGAAGTAATTATTACTGTTAAAAAAAAGTAATGAACACACTAATTCAGTATTTAGGAAAGAAAGGAGACAGACTTCACAAGTACCTGTCCAAAAGACCAAGATATTTTTAAGTTGAAATACCTAAACAGGAAATCATAGCTATGGCCACAGTGCTCCTGCATTTACTATCATCTTGAAAGATGACTTTTTTTAGCTTCAAAAATACACAAGATAATTTACAATACTTATCACAGAAGAACCACAAATAAACTAGTTGTATCTTACACAAGTTGTTTCATAAATGTTTCCTATAAACTATAAATAATGCACAGAGCTGTAAAAGCCCAAAGAAAATCTTCTGCTGCCCAATATTCA